ACACTTCAGCAGCAGGACCGTCTTCTACAACTACCACTCCATCGCAGGCCATCCGCATTACCAAGGCGCCCGGAGAGCCTGCCTCTGTGCGGCGAGTGGAGATTCTGTGCAAGCAAGAGAAAGCTAACCGTATAGTGGCTGAGGCTATAGCTCGGGCCAAAGCTCGTGGTGAGAAGAACCTACCCAGAGTCCTTAACCAGGATGAGCTTCCAGCTACGCAGTCTTCCCCAGAAATGGGGGGTACCGTGACGGTGGTGTCTAGTGCTAAGAAGAAAACCAGCGGTGGAGGAAGTAAGAAGAAAAGCCCTGTATGTGGAGGAACGGCACCCAAAACCGCAGGAGGGCCTGACAAAAAGGGAAAAGTCAAGGCACCGGGAGGAACAACTATAGTGGCAGGAGGCACAGTAATACCCAGTGCTGCGAACAAGAGCAAAAGCAAAGCTAAGGCGAAGTAAGCAAATGAAGACATTTAAATGCACAGCTTATTTCTGTACATTTAGAAATGCAGCTTTGAAGAAAACCATATTTAACCCCCCCCCCTCCCCCTCCTCCATCCTACAGTACTATCACTCTAGTTGGAGCAAAGAAAAGAAAAAGGAATGCGTCCTCAGACCACTCTGACGGGGAGTTGAGTCCTGCGTCACCTGCTGCGCTGGAGGATGACATGATTACGGTACAAGCACATGCATGCTCATAAAATCATACGAGTAGACGCAACAAATAGTGTTGAGCCATCCTTTCTTTTCTTTTTTTGCCCCACTGTGAACACTTCATAATCATACTGTTTGTTGGTAGCAATTGTTGACAGTACATTGCTCTGATTTGATGTCTTTGTGATAATAATTGTGACATAAAATAAACAGAAGATTAGGAGTATGTGGAGTCCTTCCACAGTAAAGACTTGTCCTAATAAAACCACCTGATAGTTGCAGATGAGTAGCCTCCCTTCCTGTCTCAGGTGGTTGACACACATCCAGTTATGTGCTGGGACGTCCCAGTTATGAACCGATTTGGAAAAAGGGGGCATATAAGTCAAGATACCACAGAAATATAATGAATTCTGAATGAACTGTCTAATAACACTCGGCTCCTGCTGCACAGAATACACACGTTTAAATTGCGCCCCTCTCTCCTCAGAAGAGACGCTCCAATCGTGTGGTGAAGAGAAAGAAGTACACTGAGGATCTAGATATCAAGATAACGGATGATGAAGACGAGCAGGAAGACGTAGATGTTACTACAACCGCGGCAGCTGTGGCTTCCATCAGCAGTGGGGCACCAGTGCAGCTCAAACAGGAAGTGGAGCTGGATGGTGATGGATTGCCCAGTATGCAGTTCTTTGTGGTCAGTGTGGAACGATATCATTTCTTCTTATTGTCACGCTGAGACGGATGCTGGTTGTGTGTATTTTGGGGTGTTTGTTTTTATTCACATTTATGTGTGGCTATTTGTGATGTTTGTAGTGTACGTTTCTGACATGTATTTATTTTACAGGAAAACCCAAGTGAAGAAGATGCTGCCATTGTAGACAAAATTCTCTCCATGAGATTAACCAAGAAGGAAGTATGTTCACTTAATTATAATCATTAAATTACTTAAAATAATTTAAGTTGTTGCGGGTGTAATGGCTTCAAATTTGCTCTTTTATTTTTAAGGTGTTTCCAGGCCAGTATACAAATATAGAAGAATTCTTTGTGAAATACAAAAACTAGTAAGTTGCAGTGTCTCTCTGAGCATCTTTGACTCTGGCACGTGACACTTTTTTGTTTGTTTTTTGTTTATTGCTTGAGGGGATGGGTGAGTGAGTAAAAATGAGTACAACTGCACACTCTTGTTTTCAGTTCATACTTGCACTGCGAGTGGGCCACTTTGGAGCAGCTGGAGAAAGACAAGAGGATCCATCAAAAGATTAAGAGGTTCAAGACCAAGCAAGCTCAGATGAGGCACTTGTTCCAGGAGGTGAGCGGGAAGCACACGCTGAAACCTGTCAGTTCGGGTGTATCTCAGTTAGATGCACTTATCCTTATGCTGTCTGTGGCTAATGCTATTGTTTTCTTTAGGACGAGGAGCCTTTTAATCCAGACTACGTGGAGGTGGACAGGATCCTCGATGTGTCCCACAGTGTGGACAAGGACAACGGCGAGGTGAGAGATGAGGCATTAACCTTTGGCTATGTGGCCTAATTTTGGACATGGTTCTTTTGACCTCCCTTTGCAAAATTGCAAATTGCTTGTGTTAATTCCCATTCTCTCTCGTCCTGTCAGCCTGTAATCTACTACTTGGTGAAGTGGTGCTCTCTGCCATATGAAGATGCTACTTGGGAGCTGAAGGAGGATGTGGACGAAGGCAAGGTTGAAGAATTCAGCAAGATCCAAAACAGACAACCTCGCCTTAAGAGAGCGGTGAGCAGTCATGTAAAAGATATAGTAATGTATCTGTGTGTATTTATGTTGTGACGTCTGATAGTACAACCCTGTATTCTTTTCAACACAACATTACAGTGATGACCACAGCCACTGATGTGAAATTGTCAGGCCATAAGTCCAGAAATACTATTGGTGACTGTAAATTTGGAAGAGTACGTGACTGTGAAGATGCTGGCTTGGATGAAGATGTGTATCCAGCATTCGTGTTTTAGAATCCCAAACTACACTTTAATTAAACAATGGTGGGAGGAAGATGTAACTTAAACTACACTTAAATTAAACAATGGTGGGAGGAAGATGTAACTTTAAGTTTGTCCCTGTGTTTCTCTGTTAAATGTTTAACGTAAACAGTTTAGAGAGACACTTTGTGTGTAACAGAAGCAAACTGACACAACCCCCAGTGCACAAATCAAAGCATGTTCAGTGCAGGTTACCATTCACTGTGAACCAAACTTTAGAAAATCCTTAGTTTTTCCAACAGAACTAATCTGCTCTGCATCAAGATGCAAAAATGCTTCTTTGAGTTTCTTCTTTTTTTCTTTTTTTTTTTTACTTTTGTCTCCTTCCTTCCTTCAAAACTTGGCTTAATGGAAAAAATGAGAACTTGCGTAAGGGAACAACGATGTTTCTTGTGAGTTTTTCATCTATTTTTTCTCTTCTATTTAGGCACGGCCTCCTGCCAGTTCTTGGAAAAAGTTAGAGGAGACGAGAGAGTACAAGAATGGTAACACACTCAGAGAGTACCAGCTGGAAGGAGTCAACTGGCTGCTCTTTAACTGGTACAACAGGTATTTATCCCACACACTCTCTTGCTTAACACCATGGTCAGAAACATATTTTAATCTTCAAACTAGTTTCAGACAGTGTGAACATACCACCGCATTTTGCACTCAAATGATGTTTCTTTATTTTAGGCAGAACTGTATCCTGGCAGATGAGATGGGTCTGGGGAAGACCATCCAGTCTATTGCACTCCTATCTGAGGTTTATGCTGCTGGTGTCCAGGGCCCCTTTCTGGTCATTGCTCCCCTCTCCACCATCACCAACTGGGAGCGGGAGTTCTCTACGTGGACCAACATGAATGCCATCGTCTATCACGGCAGCCTGGCCAGCCGACAGATGATACAGCAGTATGAGATGTACTGCAAAGATGAGAAGGTAAAGTTATTGGTTATGATCGCCAGCGATTTGTTTTGTGTGTTTTTTGTAATGTGTTCATAACATGTATAATGAAAATCATGATTTTGTGTGCAGGAGCATTTAATCCCGGGTGCGTACAAGTTCGATGCTCTCATCACAACCTTTGAGATGGTGCTATCTGACTGCCCAGAGTTGAGGGAGATCGCCTGGCGTTGCGTCATCATTGACGAGGCTCACCGTCTCAAAAATCGTAATTGCAAGCTTTTGGATAGCTTAAAGATGCTGGACCTGGTGAGTGGCCCACAGCTAATGTTGCTGAATAACAGGAATACTGACATAATGGTGTCCAGCACAGTTTTAATTGAATTAAAATTGTTTTCATTTACACAGAAGTGCACCCCAAATGGTTTTAAAAAACTTTCAGACTTCAGCTAATCTGTTTTTTTGGGATCTTGTTCCTTCTGCATCGTCCCTGATTTATCACCACACGGTTTTACACTCGCCCTTCTTTTTTCTTCCATCTCACATTTTGTGTCTTGTGGTTCTTTCAGGAACACAAAGTGTTGTTGACTGGCACTCCCCTCCAGAACACTGTGGAGGAGCTCTTTAGTCTGCTTCATTTCCTGGAGCCTGCCCAGTTCCCCTCTGAAACGGAATTTCTCAGAGACTTTGGAGACTTGAAAACAGAGGAACAGGTGCGACATGCCTAAATATTGGTGTTAGCATCGATAACCCTATTCTGTTTGTCGCCGTTACCTATACGCATCTGCTCCCTTGCCCGCTATTGAGCTGATTATTTGTTTTGGTCCTTTAGGTTCAGAAGCTACAAGCAATCTTGAAACCCATGATGCTTCGAAGGCTCAAGGAGGATGTAGAGAAGAACTTGGCACCCAAACAGGAGACCATCATTGAGGTTAGATGGAATAAAATCTTAATGCGAGACCTTTTCTTTTCACAACCCCCCCCCCCCAAAAAAAAACAACAAAAAAAAAAAAACAAGGATCTCAATTGATGATTGCCATAACATCACCGGTGAGCTTAAAGGGAGAAAAAACATAACGTGCAATTGTTTCCTCTCAGGTTGAACTGACAGATATCCAGAAGAAGTACTACCGGGCCATTCTGGAGAGAAACTTCAGTTTCCTCAGTTTAGGAGCAAGCAGTAACAGCAATGTCCCCAACCTGCTCAACACTATGATGGAGCTCCGCAAGTGCTGCAACCACCCCTACCTCATCAATGGTATTACATGACTCTTAACGAGTTTTTTTTCCCCCGTCTAGTGGAGACAGCTTGTTTATCAGAGTTTATCCTCTGGCATTGATAAACAACATTAGGTCGAAGTTTGTTTTTTTTAGCTCTTTGTACCTTTGGTACACTCAGGCTCACAGACCTAAATTGTGCCATGTAGTTCATATAATCATTTGATATTTGGCAGATGTTATTAGCATGTGATGTTTCTAAAATACAGCGGCAGCACTGCAGGTTTTGCCAGCAGGTACCATATTTATTTAAAACCAAAATGTTCTCGTTGTTATGTTCAGGTGCGGAGGAGAAGATCGTAGCGGAGTTGCGGGAGGTGTACGACCCCCTGGCCCCTGACTTCCATTTGCAGGCTCTGATTCGGTCGGCTGGTAAGCTGGTGCTACTGGACAAGCTGCTGCCTCGCCTCAAGGCTGGTGGCCACAAAGTGCTCATCTTCTCCCAGATGGTGCGCTGCTTAGACATTCTGGAGGACTACCTCATCAACAAGAGGTATGATGACCGCAGTGTATATGTTGCAGTTTTTCTAAAATGATAAATAAATGTCAAATGCATGCTAAGTCAGCGATCATTAAAAACCTTTTTGAAATATTTGTTAGTGCTTGCAGAATGCTGTGTGGTAGGTTAATGTAACTTGTTTTTACAGATACCTTTATGAGCGAATTGATGGTAGAGTGCGTGGGAACTTGCGACAGGCTGCCATCGATCGTTTCAGCAAACCCGACTCAGACCGCTTTGTCTTCCTGCTGTGTACCCGCGCTGGTGGCCTGGGTATTAACCTAACTGCTGCTGACACTTGTGTTATATTTGACTCTGACTGGAACCCTCAAAATGACCTGCAGGTACAAGAATATCATGAATATCACCAAAAGATCAAACAATCTTAAAATATTTGGGTCAAACTTTGTACTTTCTCCTCATTTTGTGCAAGTTCTGCTCTCTTGACCCCTTTGTTTGTTTGTTTGTTTGTTTTTTATTTGTTTTTTAAATGGCTATTTTAGGCCCAAGCCCGATGTCATCGTATTGGCCAGTCAAAGGCTGTCAAGGTCTACCGACTCATCACTAGAAATTCCTATGAGCGGGAGATGCTTGATAAAGCAAGTCTGAAGCTAGGTCTAGACCGTGCAGTCCTGCAAAGCATGAGTGGCAACAAAGACAGCAACGTCAATGGGGTAAGAAAAGTCACAGACTCAGACTGCCGTGCCACATTAATGATCAGTTGTAGTATATTTTGTGCATTTTTTTTTTCCCCCCAAAACTAGCCTTTTGAAATCCAGTCTGGGTAACTTGTAAATGTCATTCGATGCCTTTCGACAGATCCAGCAGTTCTCCAAGAAGGAGATAGAAGATCTGCTTAGGAAGGGGGCTTATGCTGCCATCATGGATGAGAACGACGAGGGTAGTCGGTTCTGTGAGGAAGATATTGACCAGATCCTTCAGCGAAGAGCCACTACCATCACCATTGAGAGCGAGGGAAAAGGTTCCACTTTCTCCAAAGCCAGCTTTGTGGCCTCTGAGAACCGTACTGACATCGCCCTCGATGACCCTGAGTTCTGGCAGAAGTGGGCCAAGAAAGCAGACATAGACATGGACACAATCAATAGGAAGGTAAAGCTATGCGGTTTTATTTCTTTGGTAAAGAAATTCATATGAGAATTGTAGAGCTAAATGGTGTCAACTTGTATTAGATTTATTTAAAAGCACTTATCCTCTCATACACCAAGTTTAAGTTGTTTATTGCGTTCATCTTAATACAAAGTGTTTCTCTTCACAGAACACTCTTGTGATCGACACTCCAAGAGTTCGTAAGCAGACCCGACAGTTCTCCAGTCTACGAGGTGAAGGTGGAGACCTGTCCGATCTAGACAGTGATGAAGAGTACCCACCTTCCAATTCCAGACACTCACGTGCTTCTCGGCGGTCTGACCGCCACAGCGGAGGTGGTTACGGCCGCACTGACTGTTTCCGGGTGGAGAAACACCTTCTCGTCTATGGGTGCGAAGAGTGCATTTCCTGTATAAATATATATTTTTTTCTTTTTAATTGGGTTTTGTCCTTTATTTTCACTCTTTTCTTTGTTCGTCTTTTTTAGTTGGGGTCGCTGGAGGGACATCTTATCCCATGCCAGGTGTAAGCGGCGTCTGAGCGAGCGTGATGTGGAGACGATCTGTCGCGTTATTCTGGTCTTCTGTCTGCTTCACTATCGTGGAGACGAGAACATCAAGAGTTTCATCTGGGAGCTCATCACGCCGCCAGAGAATGGGCGTGAACCACAAACGCTACTCAACCACTCGGGTATGGAGCTGCACTTAGCATTCCCATTTATCCCTCATACAGTTAGGTGCATATATATATTTGAACACTGACACAGGTTTTGTTTTGTTTTTTTACCCATTTATTGGAACATATTCCAGTTATAGTATATAATGGACATAATGTGTAGACTCAACTTCCCACAAGGCTTTAGGAGTTTAGTTCCTTAACATGTGCCCTCTTTTTAAAGGTACAAAAAGTCATTGGACAATTGACTCAAAGACTTTCATGAGCAGGTTTGGGCAACTCCTTCATTAAATCATTATCAATAAAAGGCCTGGAGTTGATTTGAGGTGTGGCGCTTGCATTTGGAAGATTTTGCTGTGAACAGACAACATGAAGTCAAAGAAGCTCTCCGTGCAGGAGAAATGAACTATCCTAAAGCTGCTGGAGGAAAAAAAAAACATCAGAGACGTTGATACAATATTACAAATAGAAGATTTTACAGTTTGTTGCATCCTGAGAAAGAAAGAAGGCGCTGGTGTAGCCGAATGAATTCTGAGGTGTTCAAAGACTTACTGTCCGCTCAAATCCAGCTAAATGCTGTCAAATTAATTGTGTGGTATTTTATAATATAAGTGGGCAATTACCCAAAACATACAGCCAAAGTAACCCAGGAGTTTATTAAAGCAAAGAAGTGGAATATTCTTGAATGGACAAGTCACTCACCTGGCCTCAACCCAATTGAACATGCATTTCACTTGTTGAAGACTAAACTTGAGACAGAAAGCAAACAAACAGCAACTGAAAGCTGCTTCAGTAAAGGCCTGGTGGATTATTGAAACTGAGGAAACCCAGCATCTGGTCATGTCCATGAGTTCAAGACTTAGGCTGTCATTGCCAACAAAGCGTTTTCAACCAATTATTAGAAATGAACATTTTATTTCAAATTATTTAATTTGCCCATTACTTTTTACTGAAATGAAGGGATTGTGTTATTAAAAAAATGCTTTAGCTCCTCACATTTTTATGCAATCTTTTTGTTCACTGAATTAAAGCTAAACTTCAACTCAGATGCACTTCACCTGCATCTGAGTTGTTTCATCATTGTTGTAATGAACAGAACCAAACAAAGTTTTCTGTATAAAATATTTATGGACCTAACTGTGGTTCTTAGCTTGTTAATGAGCAAATCTGTGTAAAAGCTGAATAGCAGTATTTATTCTTTTTTTGTGTGTCTAGGCCTTTCTATTCCTGTCCCAAGAGGCAGAAAGGGCAAGAGGGTAAAAGCCCAGAGTACATTTGATGTTCAGAAGGTGGAGTGGATCCGCAAGTACAACCCTGATACCCTGCTGCTTGACGACAGCTACCGCAAGCACCTCAAGCATCAGTGCAACAAGTTAGTGAACCAGTCAGCTGTGTGTATGTATATTTGTGTAGATTATTCACCATGGATCTAAACCTCTATTCTCCCATGTCAGGGTGTTGCTGAGGGTGCGTATGCTATACTACCTGAAACAGGAAGTTATTGGTGAACATTCTGATTCTGTCCTGAAAGGAGCTGATATCAGGTATTTAAAATATGTAGACAAGTGCGCACACAAACAGCACCCAGTCCTGGCCATATACCATACGTTGTTTTCTTTTTCTTCACAGGGATGTTGATATCTGGATGCCTGAGATGGAGCAGCAAGAGGTGCCGGCAGGATGGTGGGACTCTGACGCGGACCGCTCACTGCTGGCTGGTGTATTCAAGCACGGTGGGTTCAGTGTGAGGATCTTATTGTGGTTTAAAGACAGCCTCAGTTCTTGCTCTGTGGTGGTGGTCTTAGATTTAGCGTTTAACAGCCTCGACTTTTCCCTGCTCTTAGGTTATGAGATGTACACCACCATGCGCGCTGATCCTTGCCTCTGCTTCCTGGAGAGAGTCGGCCGGCCTGACGACAAGGCCATTGATGCCGAGCAGCACACTGGTGATGCTGAACTGGGAGACGAGTGAGTGTCGTTGGCAAACTGGGATGATTTTAGAAGTTATTTGCTTATAGATTTGTAGCAGATTTTCAAGTTAACTGTGAGCTTTTACAGTTTCACATTTCTGTCAGTTTTGAAAGTTTCAAATGTCTGTGTTTAAGTTAAATTAGATTACTGCATAATTGCCTTGTTTATTTTTTCTTTCTTTCTTTTTTTTTAAATGCAGGGGTGACTACGATAAGTACTCGGAAGACCCAGAATTTAAGCCTGCATCAAGACACACCAAAGATCTTTTTGAGGAGGTACATATCAGACCCATCACATTTGGATGTGGCAGCACTGTTCTAATGTCATAGATTTGGATGATAGCACTAACAAATTTTTATTTTGTCCTCCAGTCCATGAATGTGGACGAGGAGATTTCTGTGGAAGATAAGGCACCTCCACCAGTGATCATAGAAAATTCAGCTAGCCATAGCGGTGTCTGCGAATGGCCCTCAAGCTCATCGCTCACAGCACGGCTGCGGCGGTTGATCACAGCTTACCAGCGCAGCTACAGACAAGAGCAGCTGAAGATTGAAGCCGAAGCGAAGGGTGACCGCAGGCGCAGGCGGTGCGAACAGGCCAGCAAGCTGAAGGAGATTGCACGGCAGGAGCGACAGCAAAGGTATACTGCTGCTATATTACTGTCTCAACACACCATAGTAAAAGCTTTAATCCCACCAAATCACTATTTTGTAAATCTTGCTTAAGATTTTGGAAATATTACCTTTTACAGGAGAAATGCTGAGTTACCACGTCACATTATAAACACGTAAAGAGATTTAAGTATTTTCCATTTTAGTTCAGAATCAGTTATACAAAATACCGTCCTCATCCTGACCCCTTTCTCTTCTGTTTCTTCCAGGTGGACACGTAGGGAAGAATGTGATTTCTACCGCGTGGTGTCAACTTTCGGTGTGGAGAAGATCAAAAAGGAGCCCGGTGTTCCTGAAGGAGGAGAGCCAGAATTTGACTGGACCCGTTTCCGTACTTTTGCCCGTCTAGATAAAAAAACCGATGAGAGCCTGAGTCGATACTTCCGTTCCTTTGTCGCTATGTGCCGGAGGGTGTGCCACCTGCGTCCAGGTCGTGAAGGTAATTACTAATTGATGCTTGGCTGCTGCTTTTTTTTTTTTCCCCCTCCCTGTACGTTGTAGTCAGTGTCCTACCATATCTACCTCATGATTTAACATATTTCACGCTCACCTTATTCAGATCCAGCAGAGGTTAACCAGACTGTGGCTCCCATCACTGAAGAACGTGCTTCCCGTACTCTTTACCGTATCAGCCTCCTGCGTCGCCTTCGTGAGCGAGTCCTCCCCCACCCCTGCCTGGAGGAGCGTCTCGCTCTGGCTCCACCCACCTCCGAGCTTCCTGCTTGGTGGAATATTCCAGAGCACGATCGCCAGCTAATGCTGGGCGCATCACTGCACGGCGTCAGCCGCACTGAGCTCTCCATCTTCGCAGACCCACAGTTCACTTTCAGCCAGGCCCGTGATGAGTTCATCCAGAACCAGCAGGCTCCACCTCCTCCACCACCCCCTCCTCCTCCACCTCCACCACCCCAGGC